TGTTGGCGCACGGGCCACAAGATGACAACCCCTTGAGTCTTGATTGAGGGTAGTTGCCGCCGCCGCCGGCGTAGGTATACACTACGATCTCGGATGATGAAGTTCCTCCCATGGAAAGATAATCGCCGACGAACGAGGGTATAGGTTGACTGGTTGGTTGAATGGGGGGTGACACGGTGAGAGATGGGGTCGGAAGGTTGTCGTCCAATGCTGCTTGTCCATCGGAGCACGAAGTAAGGGAAAAGGAGTAAGATACGAGCTGCGACGTAACCTACTGATTTGTTTTGTGCCAGGTCGTAGCTGATGTGTGTGTGAACTTTGAAGAAGTACACAAGGGATGGCTCAAGTCAGTCCAGTCCGGTAGACGTCGGTATATCGATATGGCGAAAATATTCGGTGTTGGTGACTTGGTGTTGGTTCTTGGGGGCTTGCCAGCCCCTTCCCATCTACCACTGCGGTAATTTAGTGATAGCCGAGGGATCCCATGTTTCTGCCTGAGAAAACGAAAAGAGTTGAAAAGGATGGTTATTTAGTTGAAGGTAACAGAAATAGAAGAGGTTAGCAATTCGGGAGAAAAAGAAAACAACGATTGGCAACGGGGGCCTGAAACTGAAAGACGTCAACGTTAGCCATTGGATACCCTGACTTCAGAGTTGACTTTTCACTTCTCGCCTAAAATGCCCTGGCGCGCCTGGCATATAGTGCATGGGCCACTGCATAACGAAAGGTCGCATGTGAGGCCGCTTGGCCGTTGAGAATGGTCAACGGTTGTGTTGGTTCTGAATTTCCAGCGGCCGGTGAGCCCCTCTCTTGCATAATGCCGGTGCCCCAGCTGCGGGACCGGCCGGGTGAGCGCGGGTGAGGGGGGAGCACTTTGCAGGACAGGTTAACCCTTCCTCTTTCGGCTCCAGATATCTCACCCCGCGAATTGAGTGAGAATGTGTGTGTACCTGACGAACAATGAATGGGCATCAACACCCGGCAATTCATCATCATGTGTTCTTCAATAGTTCATGGCGATGAGCCCATACACAGCAGGTTGAACCTGATGGTGTCTCTGTACGTCAATCGAGGGTCAATAAACCCATGCAGCCGACTTGTGCAGCATTGACACTTACAGCGAGCGGAGGTGGGGAGCTGATGCGCAACTAAGCCCTGATATGTACCCATTTCAGGCCAATTACAGCAGAGCCTCCACTGGACCATAGCATCCGGATTAGGTGTCGATTATCCAGACGATATAAACTCATGTACCTCCACTATCTCCACCGTACCCGCGCTACTACATCACAGGCATTGGCTGGGTTCGTCGCTAAGTTGTACATGAGGTTTATCATCTGGATAATCGTTTCCACGGATTGTCAAGTAATCAGCGAATACGTACACCGTTGATGGCTTCATGGCAAAAGATATGGGCAACGACACAGTACATGGACGGGCTGTCATGCGGCGTCTCTTGCAGCAAGATATGTCGCTTGGCCATGTCCACAAGTATCCGTCATCCGGACTGCAGTCACCCAGGCTCACCACTCCTCGTCAACTAACGTTCGGTTCCGCTTCACGGTTCTTTTGGCCTGGCTGTCGTGTATCCCCAGAGTTGGGAGTCGACCACGGATGGACCATGGCCATTGCTCCGGCAGGTCCCCGGCGATTACTGAACAACACATCATTGGCTTTGCGCAAGTACAAGTACCGATGATGGAGATGGATAAAGAGGAGACATGATGGACACGATGGACAATCTGGATTTCCGGACTTTCTTTTGCGTTTCTTGCTCTCTCTGCTTTCTTTAGATATCGAACCATCTCCATCTCAGGTCTGGACTCTACAACCGGGCTGAGCTCTCATACGGTATATTTGAGTCACCAAAGATCTCCGTCCTGTCGACGTCTCGTGATATCCTTTACGAAGGCAGTGGCCGGGATCCTCGACATCGAGATCTGGACACTTGGCCCTGTAACCGGTGCGTTGGTTCCTCATCAGCCGGTGGGCTGCCTTGCCTGCCCCGGTAACCCGAACTCATCTAGGCCTTTTGGGCTCTGAAGCCATCCCGGACTAGACTCCACCGGGCACCACTCTGGGCACCACCAGGGCACCACAAGCGACGATCCCTCCTCGAAAAAGATACCTCCCAGGCTGTACTTTACCCCCCAAACGCCCGGCGGCGCTTGTTGCTTCGTGTTGTGCCCTGCTCAGTTTTCTACAGTTCATACTGTTGGGTCGTTCGGACGGAATCGAGACACGCTGTTAACGACGCGCGAGAATAACCTTGTGAAGAGGGGGCCAGCCGCCAATCCAAGTCGAGTCGAAAAGAGCCCTGCGAAATTAGGAGGCCCAAAATTTTCTAAGCGGTCCAGAATCTCGACTCGGAACGATTCCCTCGTTGGCGACTGTCTCCGTTACGTACCGATACCGATACCCTTTCCCAGAGGACGAGAACGCCCATTCTTCCCAGGTCACCTATAACCGCTCCGGTCCCGATTGTCAAAAAGTCAAAAGTCGCTCTGCTGCATGCTGCGACGGCCGAGCTGGAATATCGTTGCGTCCGCCAATTCGGCGTCCCGCGAATAGCTGGAGCATTGGAGCTGTTGGAGCTTTGCGCTGGGCTTTGACCTCTTGTCAAAAGTTGGAGATCCCGGCGAGCCGATCCCAAACACTGAAGAAAAAAAACGGCGCGCAGCAAAAGGGGGCAGCATATCAGATCAAATTCGCCCATCCCAAAATCGACGACAAACCACCCCGAGATTCCCGCATCCGCAAACGCATTCGCATCTTCGAAACGGGCAAAGTGAGACGGGCCAGGACGCGTGCAGTGACTTTTACTCTGCTCTTCAGTTCTTATAAGCCCTGCCAGCTGTCTGTGGTGGACTCCTCCCGTTGACCATGACGCGCTACGGATCCCAGCCTTGGTGAGCAGCCGCCCACTCTCTTATTACATCAATGTTTGCTGGGCCTCCATCTTCAGACGCCCCCTCCTATCCCTATCCTAGAGCACAAACCTACACATCAATGGGGCCACAGCAGTGCTCATACAGACGTCCTGTCAATCCCTAATTTTTTTTTTTTGGCTCTGATGCTGATTTGTCCTATAGCCGCGAATTTCATATCGTTGTCCTAGGCACCGGTATGTTGTGCTTTCATCATCCCACCCCCCTCTATCAGTTCGCTTTTCACTATGAACCTCTTGTGAAAAAAAAAAATTGAAAAAAAAAACTCCCTACTATGCCAAGACATGCGCATCACATGCTACAACTGCTGACTTTGATGGCTTACTTAAGGTGGCGTCGGCAAGAGTTGCCTAACTGGTATGTTGTATTCCCCCAAGTGCTAACCCCTATTCAACCACCCTGCACGATGACCCCTGTCACATGTGTGGACTGGACAAGAACTGGGCCTCATCATGATGCTGACGATGAAATGTTGTGTGAACAACAGCACAATTCGTACACAATGAGTGGATTGAAAGTTATGATCCAACCATTGAGGACTCGTACAGGACACACGTGTCTGTCGATGTAAGTCTTATCTTGTCTGTTTTGTACATGTCTCGGATCTAACAAAGACATACAGGGAAGACAAGTGATATTGGAAATGTGAGACCTTCTTCACTCACACTTGACCTTGACCCGATTCTAACATGCAGTTCGTTCACCAGCCTCGACACCGCCGGTACAGAACAATTCGGTGAGCACCCAAACCTCCTTTACTAAGTACCGACTTGGACTCACCTCGCTAACACTTTCGGCAAAGTAGCTATGCGAGACCTGTACATGAAGGCCGGCCAAGGATTCCTATTATGCTTCAGCATAACCTCGCAAGCCTCGCTAGACGAGCTCGCCACGCTCCGCGAGGAGATCATACGCATCAAAGATGACGAGAACATCCCCATCGTCATGGTGGGCAACAAGGCCGACCTGCTAGACCAACGAGCGGTCGATCGCGCAAAGGCCTTTACCATTTCGCAACAGTGGAATGCGCCTTATTATGAGGCTAGTGCTAGGACGAGGAGTATGTTTTTTCTGTCACCATCTTTTCCTACAATCAATCTCTGGGCCGTAAAAGGGTTATTACTAACACTCACAAAAAGCAAACGTCGACGAAGTCTTCGTCGACCTCTGCCGCCAAATGCTACGAAGAGACGATAGCGGCCACGACGACGACGACGCGCGCAATGGTGGTGGGTACGGCTACGGCCAGGGGAAACAGGAGGATTGTCATGGGTCCGTGAAGAAGAAGCGGAGGAGAAAGAGGAAGGGCGATCATAAGTGCATAATCATGTGAAGCAAAACAACGCTTTTTTTACATCTGCTTCACAGCATTAATACTAACATGGTCTTTGAATCGAGAGGCTCTTTTGGGTACGAAATCCTTACAATTGCAGTGGTTGGGATTTGTTGAGGACTACTCAGGTTCCAGGTTTTGGGATCTACGACTCGTGGTCAGCGAGGCGGTGGGAAGAGAGAACGGCAGGATGAGGGAAATTTGCAGTGGCTGAAGAATGGGTTGGATGGAAAGAGGTCATTTTGGCTCGGGGTCATTTTGGGAAGGCTCGATGAGAATGTTGAAGACAGAATCGGAAGAAGCCGAGGGAGATTCGGAAGGCGCAAAGGACGGACTCCTAAAATTTTCAATCTCATCCGAATCCTCTGTCTTCCAATTTGGAAGCTGCCGAGAGAAGCCGGTCGCATTCTCCGGTGTCGTTCTTATCATGCGTCTTATCGCTCATGTTGTTTTTCTTTTATTTATTTTTCTGCTTTTCATTTCTGTGGATTTTGCATTGGAGGCATTCTGTCATTCTCTGTCATCATCTGCAAATTTTCTGTTTTTCTTTTTACGCTATAATTAGAGGAGGCATACTGGTGTTTCTTTACTGGCTGCATTCCTTGGTTACGATACCCAGACATGTCTTTCGTTCGTTTCTCTCTATTTCTAGGGTGCAGAACATACCTAAGAATTAAACCTTCTGATTCATCCACACACGACTGTTGGCAGCGCAAGCATATACCGTACTGATGTTCTATTTCTATCTGTTGTTCCTAAGAGGTTTGCACTCCTCGTTTATCCGAGGTTCATCCCCCCGTCTTCAAGTTCACCTAGCTGATGTGCCCCTGGCTATGCATTCACTCGCGCATCCTTCGTGTCCCGAAGCGAAGTCCTGAACCCATGGTATCATATCCAACCCCAACTTCTAACATCAATAAGTTTTTTCTGTTCCTCAACATCCAACTTCGTTTCTTCATGTTCTCATCCAGCATTCATCCATCACGCCGTCCCCTTTACGTCCTGCCTACCGCCCCGTTCTCCCCATCCACCATGGTAGGCGTACTCGCACCTGTATCCTCCTCGCTCCCGTCTTGCTTCTGTGTCTCAGCCATCATCATCGTACTTTTCAACTCCCGACCTTGTTGCTGTCCAGCAGCAGCCGCAGCATCATGATCTTCCTGCTTCTCCAAATCCCGACCTTGCTCTCCACCCGCAGCAGTAGCATCACTCTCCTCCTGCTCCTCCAAATCCCTCTGCTCGCCCTCCCCCTTCCTGTCCTTCCTCAACCAAAACTTCAACCCCCCCAAACCCATATCCCCCTCCCTCTCCGCCCACTCCCACTCCTCCCCCCTCTCCTTATACTCCCCCAACAGATCATCAAAAGTCTTGCCATCTTTTTTGAGTTGCTTTCTTATGCTTCTCGTCCTCGCCAACCAAATCAAGTGCGACCCAAAGATGCCCAGCTCGAGTAAGACGCAAATGATGTAGAGAACCCCGCCCAACACGTCAAACGTGTTTTGAGTCACAACGGCCATCAGGGAGAAAAAGGCTCCTGACCAGTCCATTGCTAAGAAAAACCAATTTATACCGACGACCCGCCCGTGCCGCTTGTACAATTCTGCGTAGGGGGGCAGGAGGCCGACGGCGAGGAGGATGGCGGCTATTATGCCGATGGCTTGGATGGGGGGTTCGTTGCCTGCTTCGTAAAGGGGCTTTTTGGGGGTGTTAAGGTTTGTTAGTCACCATTGTCTCTCAAAAAGAAAGTACCTCTAGGGAGGCAGAATGGAATAACTCACCCGAAGTGTCAAAATCAGCGCAGCTTCAACACCAGCGAATACGCAAGCGGTGGTCAAAGCTAGCAGGCTAGCCTTCCAAACTGGCCATTTTCTGTTGTTTTTTTCCCCTTGTTAGCATCTGTATCCATCTCTTCAACTCCAAACTCAACTCCCACTCCACAGAAACGTCGAAAGGAAAGAGGGACGGGAAAGACTTACGACCCATAAATCAATACCTGCGCCCACCCGACCAAACAAAGCGTCATAAAGGCCTGCGGCTGCACCTGGAGCGGTATGTTGAAGTTCTGCGCTGTCGCGTACACCCCAAAGGGCACGCCGCACAGCGCCCAGAGGAACATCATGGTGCCCGGCAAGCCGGTCGTGCATTTGGTGCGGTAGTTGGTCCATATTTGCGGGATGAGCTGGACGCACCAGAGGCTGGAAAATGTGGCATGGGTTAGTTAGTTACGAGATGGTCTGGGGAAGTAGATGGGGGGAAGGGGTTGCTTACACAGTTCCTATCGTCCCAAGCACATTGGCGGCCTGTGATGGATGCTCGTCAGTATTACTGTTACGATCAATTGAGGTTGTACAACACCGTTATCGAAGCCATGGCGATGGGTGACGGTGGTAGAAATTGGGGTAGCAGGTAACACAGCCTGTCAGCGGGAGCGGGATGACGTACAACTGGGATTTCTGTCTGAGGCGCCATGGATGTCTCGAGTAACCTTTTTTATCTTCTGGTGTTGTCTTTCGTCCGCGTGCGGATGTTGATGATAATAGTTTCGAGGTTCTGTCTGGTATGTATTCGTTCGATCATGTACTTCTCTTGGGAAAGAACCGTTCGCGATAAAGACTTGCGATCTGATGATTATAAGTAAACATTAAACTGCAGTGGTGATGATCTATGAGCACGAATGGCGATTTGCATGGCGATGCATGGGCGATGCAGAGATAAAATAAATAAATAAACAAAACTTGGAACGGACAGGATGCCGAAAAAGCGCCCGCCTTGGACCGAGCGAAGAAAATATGTACGCATCAGATTCATCCCAAGTTGAGTTAAGCGGCGAATATTGCAGCCGTCAAGCATGCACATGGACGCACATACAACCCAGAACGTTCAAGGTGGAAGTTGTTCTTTGCTTTGTTTGTCAAAGCGGCTGCCAATTCTGGTTAGAGAACTGGGGAAAAGGTACGGCGAGCACTGACGATGCAGGGAAGACAAGTCCAGAAAATCGGGTACTTCATGACTTGGGATGGCGAACTTATCGGTGTTCCTAGACTTTTCGAATCTGTCTCGTCTCTTGAGCACCATGGTGTTTCTAGGTAGTTCCAGGTTTGATGACAGCACAAAACTTGTTTCAAGTAGCGAAAACCAGCCAACATGTCTTTGCAGCGACAAGCCGGCAGACGAAGCCGCTATAAAAGTGCTAGCACTGTACTAGACTGTGCGGTTTGCGCTAAAATGATCGCCGTGGCTCCGCTGAAAGCTTAATGGCACAGTATCGCTCTCAAAGAAGGGAATTTGCACACTGTTTTCTCCAGAAATTTTCAGCGGCCGGCAGCTTCAGGAACCTTCATTCGAGATCTTTCAATCGATAACGAGACCTCAAGCCAAATACACCAGACGAAGAAATATTCACAGGACAAAATTTTTTGTCAAAGCGCAATCTGAATCTTCATTGAAGTCGTCATTTCCTACATTCGGATAATTGTGCTCCTTCGTTGGCTAATACCTTCACTCGCACCACCACCATCAACACCTACCTGCCTGCCGCTCATCAGTGCCTACCACCTTGTGACGAAGCACCACCTTCCTCCAGCAAACAACCAGACAAAAAACAGCCATGGCCACCGAAATGATCAACAGGAAAAGAAAGGCCGACGACGAGGGCGGCGCCAAGAAGAAGAAGAGATCCAAGAAGGCGCGCGAGGACGAGGGTGATCTCGACGTCGAGGCAGGTCTGAACAGGGCATTCGAGCGCATGGACGGTCAGCTCCTGGCGGATCACATTGCTCAGAAGGTGACACGGTTCGGGACCGATCTCAGCTCCGTCGAGCTTTCGGATCTGTACATTTCTGGTGAGTGCATGGAAGGTTTGAACAAGGGGAGAAAAGGAAAGGAAAGTATCATAATGAGTGAGAACCTTGGTGTTGACATGTGATGCACAGCAAACGCGATCAAGGACACCACTTCCTTCCAAAAGCCCCGGAACAAGGACAACCTGCCAGAGTTCCTGGAGGAGTTCTCGGAGAATCCTGCCAAGTTGGCTGAGGCGCCCAAGTCGAAGGGGTCGCCGCACACATTGGTTGTGGCGGGCGCGGGTTTGCGTGCTGCGGATTTGGTCAGGTATGTTCTGTTTAGTGTTGGGTTCTTTCCCTGGGGTGTGAGTTGCGCTGACAAGATGACTGTCAGATCGTTGAGGAAGTTTGGAACAAAGAACAACTCGGTCGCCAAATTGGTAAGTTGCGATGTCGATGTGAAGGAAAGAATGGAGGGCAAGTTGCTGATAATGATCGTTCGACAGTTCGCCAAGCACTTCAAGGTCGAGGAGCAGGTCTCCTTCCTCAAGAAGAGCCGCACGGGAATTGCCGTTGGTACTCCTCAGCGCCTGATTGACCTGATCGAAAATGGTACGATATCTTTTGTCACTGCTCCATGCGCTTGCTCTGTTTTTGCTAACTCTTTCTCCCAGAGTCGTTGTTTCTTGACAGCCTGAAGAGAATCGTTGTGGACGCTTCCCATATCGATCAGAAGAAGCGGGGCGTCGTTGACATGAGAGAGACGATGATGCCATTGATCAAGCTCCTTACGAGGAAGGAGCTTCAGGACCGCTACACGGCGGAGGAGAAGCATGTGGATTTGATCTTTTACTGAGCACAGGTATTCCTTCACTTTCAGTTCTCTCTTAATGATACCTACCTACCTACTCCTTGTAGCAAATGCACTTTCCAGACCTCACACCCAAGGACCGAATCAAGAAGCAGACTCCAAGTGACTCTGCTTTCCAGGTTGTGTTCAACCTCGGACTTTCTGCTGATTGCCCTAGTGCAGGGAAGGTGTACCGTGCTCGACATCTCAACTCCCTCACTTGCTCCGTCCTGCTCCTTCCCCGATGTCATTGCCCACCACGCCATGGCACCATGGCCATCATGGTTCCTACCACTCTGCACTCATCGTTGCCCACCTCCCAGTTCACCGTCATCCGGCTCCCAAAGCCATGAGACCAGATACTTAAACCCATCCTCCTCCCACTCTCAGATTCTTCCTCTCTTCTCTTCTTCAGAACATCACACTCTTTTCCCCTCTCTTTTTGGATTAGGTATCCCAAATTCTTTCGATCATCCCTCTTCTTTTTTGGAGATCATACTTGAATTGCAGTCAGCTATCAGCTCTCAATCAACAACTATCGACTCCTCTTTTTTGTGTTCTTCCTTTTTCGAGATACACCACAGGGTCTCAACACACACACACCACGGCGAACGGCTTTTCGAGATATCAGCTCTCTGAAACAGCTTACGACTCTTCACGATGAAGTCTTCCCTCTTGATGCTCACGCCCGCCACGGCGGCCCTCGCTTTTCCCGACTGTGGTCAGCCTTGCATTGCTCCCGCGCTCGACTCGTCCGGATGCCGCACGCTTGCGTGCCTCTGTGAGAGGACTCATCAACTTCAGGTCAGTTTACTTCTTTGCTTTCCTTATGTTGTTTCCTTGTGACTCTGACTGACTTGGCCCTCCCACAGACCATGTTCGAGTGCTTCATGGCCAATTGCAATGCCCAAGAGTACCACCCTGCCATCACGCGCATCTCCAATGACTGCATCAATTACGGCCCGGCTCAGTATGCCGTCCCGATGAGCTACATCTCTGGCTCTTCCAAGGTTGCCTCTCCCTCTGTTGACCGCATGCCCTACTCGCTCAACCCAACTCTGCACCTCTTCACCACCAATCCCACCTCCATCAAGGACGATTGCCCTGATGGCAGCGGAAATGGCAACGGCAACGGCAACGGCAACGGCAACGGTGGTGCCGGTCTCGGTGCCGGTGGTCTGCCTCCCGGTTTCCCCTTCGGACCTGCAGGAAGCGGCGCTGATGCATATGGCAATGGAGCTGGCAATGGAGCTGGCAACGGCGGCAACGGTGCTGGCAATGGTGGAAATGGTGGCAACGGTGCTGGCAATGGTGGCAACGGTGCCGGCTCTGGTCTTGGAGGCTTGGGTGCCGGAGCTGGAGCTTATGGCAACGGTGCTGGCAATGGTGCTGGCAACGGTCTCGGAGGCAATGGAAATGGCAACGGCGGTCTCGGCAATGGTGCTGGTGGCCTGGGTGATGGTTCTGGTGCTTATGGCAATGGCGCTGGTGCTGGCAATGGTGCGGGTAATGGAGGCAATGGCAATGGAAATGGAAATGATGCTGGTAATGGCGGGAATGGCGCTGGTGCTGGAGGCTTGGGTGCCGGTGCTGGAGCGTACGGTTCGGGAGCAGGAAATGGTGCAGGAAACGGCGGCCTGGGCAATGGTGCTGGCAATGGTCTCGGAAATGGCAATGGCGGCGCTGGCAACGGAAATGGCGGTGCGGGCAATGGTAATGGAGGCATGGGAGACTGCAGTGGCATGGGCGGAGGTGTCGGAGGTGCTGGAGGTCCCGGTGGTGGTGCTGGAGGTTTGGGCAACGGTGCCGGCGGTCCCGGTAATGGTGCTGGAGGCCTCGGTAATGGTGCTGGCAACGGCAACGGCAACGGCAACGGGAACGGCAACGGGAACGGCAACAATGGTGCTGGCAATGGCAACGGCAACGGCAACGGCGCTGGCAGCGGTGCACCATGCCCCAATGGTAACGGCAACGGCAACGGCAACGGCAACGGTAACGGAAATGGCAACAATGGAGCTGGCAATGGCAATGGCGGCAACGGTAACGGCAACGGTAACGGAAATGGCAACAATGGAGCTGGCAATGGCAATGGCGGCAACGGTAACGGCAACGGGGGCAATGGCGCTGGCAATGGGAACGGAAATGGTGGCAACGGCGGCAACGGCGGTGCTGGTGCTGGCGGCCCTCCTCCTTCTCCCGCTCAGATGCAAGGCCCCCTCGTCCAGACCATCTTTGTCATCGGAACTCCAAGCCCCGAAGCTATTGTCCCAGGATCCGGAGCTGGAAACGGCGGTGGCAATGGTGCTGGAAATGGTAACGGCAACGGCAACGGAAATGGCAATAATGGAGCTGGCAATGGAGCTGGTAATGGAGCTGGCAATGGAGCTGGCAATGGCAATGGGAATGGAGGCAACGGCGCTGGCAACGGAGGCAATAGCAATGGCAACGGTGCTGGAAATGGTGCTGGAAATGGTGCTCCATGCCCTAATGACAACGGCAACGGCAACGGCAACGGCAACGGCAACGGCAACGGCAACGGCAACGGCAACGGCAACGGCGCTGGTAATGGCAATGGTGGCAACGGCGGTAATGGCAATGGCGGCAACGGCGGCAATGGCGCTGGCGCTGGCAACGGAGGCGCCCCGGCACCTACCCCTTGTCCCCCGAGTTCCGGTCCCTCATCATTCCTCGTCCTCACTGTCACCGTCCCTCAGCCTGCGCGAGTTATGGAGAAGAAGCAATACTGGAACGCTAACGTCATGGCCTATGGTGGTCCCGATGATGGTTCTGGTGCCGCACCGGGCAGCGGCGGCTCAGGAGTAGCACCTGGCAACGGCAACGGTGGCTCTGGATCAGCGCCCGGCAGTGGAGGCTCCGGAGTTGCGCCAGGTAATGGCAACGGCGGTTCGGGTGTAGCACCTGGCAACGGCGGCATGGGACCAGGCAACGGAGGCTCTGGGGTGGCTCCTGGTAACGGAAATGGTGGTTCAGGAGCAGCTCCCGGGTCAGGAACAGCTCCCGGTAATGGAGGCTCCGGAGTTGCGCCCGGTAATGGCAATGGAGGCTCGGGCACAGCACCAGCAGGTGGCGCGCCGCCAGCACAGGTTACCCATTCACTGGCGGACACCAACACGCCTTCTCTCGGTCTTCTACTCATTCCGGTCACCGTCATGATTGGCTGGGGATCTCTTCTTCTCTTCGTCTAGGATGAACATGGCTATAATCTCTTTTCCTTTGTCTGATGGATCATATTATCTCTTGTTATGGGGTGCAAAGAGACTATGGCGGTTATTAGAGGGTCATGTTGATATCATTTGAGCAGAAAGACTAGCATTATTGAAGGACCAAAGGATTTGGGCTCTTGTAAGATATCTGATTCGAAAAGCACGAGGGCCTGACTAGACTAATCAGGCATGTTCCTCCAACTTTGAGTCTGACATCGTGATGTTCTTGTTTGCTTTTCATGCCTTTGACTTGATACTAGGCAGGGTCTCTCCGTATCCTGCAAATGGCTTTGCTCCATGACTGGATATCACTGAACAAAATGGTGAGAAATGTGCATCTTCGTATCGGCTAGTCTTGAGATCCTTCCGCCCCCGGTTGTTCGGAGTTTGCTCGCGACTAGCAGCCACGGTAGTCACAGGGAACGCACGGCAGTTGAAATGACATGCGTTAGACTTGTTATTCCTCGGTGTTACGTCCATGTTCGTGGTTCAATGAGATCTCACTTCGATCCAGCTTTCTTCTATATCATGCAATGCTTTTGTTCCGTTCCCCGCATTTCAGAGTCTGAGATATACAACTTCCCTTCAACTCATTGCGGAGTGAACCTCGCTACCTTACAGGGAATTGATATTTCCGTCGGCATTTCCCAAATAGGAAGCGGGGCGGGATAAGGTGAAAGTTTGAAGGTGAAGCCGGGTGAAGCGAAGGCTGGGCTTATGTATGTGGCTTGATTGAGATTGCACATCTAGCCGGTACCGAAGGCGTTGGATTACTGAAGCGAGCCGGGAAATGGTGATGATGAGGGGATGGTGAATACGACAAGATGCAAGACAAACGTAGGCCTTGAACGGATGGCATCTAGGGAATGGGAACCAGTGAGCTCATAAGGATGAAGACGGAAGTGAACATGGAAGTGAACATGGAAGTGAAGGCGACGGATAGAGGTGAGTGGTTGGTAGTTCCGCGGTACATGGTAAGTGGGCACAAGACTCGTATGTTTAAGGGCTCCTAAGTAAGCAGATTACCCCCTTTTTTTACTAAGTGAGTGTATCAACAGAATTTGAAAGCATCAAGATAGCTACCTAGGTGCTTGCTTGCTTGCTTGTTACAGAATCAAAGCGAGCAAGTACGTATGTAGGTATGGCCGTGATTGTGATATTGCCGAGTGCCCGACACTGCATCAACCATGACTGAACCAAGGAAGGCATTTGCGGCGTATGTCCTACGGTCGTCACAATCATTATCTGGTTCGTATGTAGCTTCTAGTTATCGGAATCACTCCCTCGTGATAGGTAGAGTTCAGAGTCCGATGTAGAAATGGAAGTCAGTTCTGTCTTGTCGATGGTCGATAAGACGATGAGAGATTAATTAGATCGAACATGATATCGGATGGAAGTCCGGCAGTGTTGACGATGATGGGTGGTGATAGCCGTCCGTGATAATAGCTGTGGTGATAGTGGTGGTGATAGTGGTTTCGATGATCGGAAGTGGGAAGCAAAGAGGCTTGCATGATGCTGCAGATTTAGCTTGCACATCACGCGCACGCATTTCTCGTGGGCGTGGTGGGAGCGTGGGGTTGTGGTTGAAAACTTCAGATGTATGTATGTAGGGAGATGGAAATGCCGCGCGTACATATGTACTGTATAGACATGCCATGTTGTTCTCTCCTGTGCTGTAGTTGTTCTCTGGTTTGCATCCATACCTAGTTTACGAGGCTGAACGAGAACTGAGATCGTCTAGATCTCGGCGCCGAGTGACATTCTTTTTTTCTCCTAGCTAGAGTACAAAGACACAGCAAAGACACCACCATCAAACTCGTTCTTGATTTCTTAGTCTCGGGCTCATAGGCATCATCATTATCATGGTCTGATGATGAGTGTGATACGGAACTAGCATATTATTCCTGATACCGGTCAACTCACCACAGCAGTTCACAGCTCACCTACTTTGTAGTACTTACCTGTCTGCATGTGCAGTCCCGACTGACATCGTACAGGCACATCATCACCATCATCATCACTGTCGCACGACAGCGTGGGAAAAGGAGAGAAGGGTAGAAAGCGGGACGGGATAGAAATGCGAATGTGTTAAGGGCAAT